TGGCTGCCTTCAGTCGCGCTGCCTTGGCTCGCACGGACAAGCTCACTGCCCGCACTGTCCCCTGTGTCTTCCTCGGTTTCCCCCTGGACTCGTCTGACTGGCTTTTCTACCACCCGCCGTCTCACCGCTTCCTCCACTCTCGTGACGTCACCTTTGACGAGTCCGTCTCCTTCTACCGGCGCTTCCCTCACCGAGGTCTCCCAGTTGCCCCCCCCCTGTTCCTTGCTCCCTCTCCCCCGGTAGCCCCTGCCCCTCTCCCGCCTCGTCCTGCCCCGTCTGGTGTCTCCCACGTCACTCCCCTCCCGTCGGTTGTCCCCGTTGAGGAGTCTGCTGACTCTGGTGGTACCCCCGGTCCGTCCTTGCCGCGTCCCCCTTCCCCGGTGCCTCCGCCCCCACTGTCGCAGTCGCCGACCCCGCTGCCGCCGCCGTCGCCGTCGCTGCCGCAGCCGTCGCCGCTGTCGTCACCGCCGCAGCCGTCGCCGCCGCCGCCGCTGTCGCTGTCGCAGCCGTCGCCGCTGTCGCCGCCGCCGCAGCCGTTGCCGCCACTGCCGCCGCCGCTCTTGGCCCCTGGGGGTGCTGGTGTGGAGGAGGGTGTTCGTCCTGCGGCTTCTGGGGGTGCCGCTGGTGTTGGAGGGGGTTCTCGCTCTGGGGGTGTTAGTTTTGGGGGTGCTGCTGTTGAGTGTTCTGCCGACGGTCGTTCTGCCTCTGCTGGTCCGAGAGTTCCGGCCCAGCCGTCGTCGTCGCCGCAGCAGCCGTCGCCGCCGGTTTCCGCTCTCCGCCTGCTCGGCCTTCCCTCACCGGACCGCGCGCCGGTGTCTCCCCCACCGCCTGCTGACCTCCCTGTCTACAGTCCTGTGTTCCCGCCGCCGGACTCGTCTCCAGCCCGTCTTCCTCCTCGTTCCCCTCCTGTGTCTCCTCCGCTGTCCCCTGACCCTACCCCTCCGTCTCACGTTTGGGCTCGCCGTCCCCCCCGTGCTCGTCCCGTCTCTCCTGTCCTGCCCACCCACCCTATGTTGCTCCGTTCCCGCTCGTCTCGTCCTCCCCTCCTCCCGTCCCCTCCTCCCTCGTCCCTTGTTGTTGCACCTCCTCCGTTCTCTGACTACCTCCGTGCTTCTCGTCCCCTTGTCCCTCGGGTCCTTGCCTCTCTTGTTACCGACCTTGCTGTTCCTGTCTCGCGCCTTGACGCGCTTGTCGCCGCTGTCGCTGACTTCGCTTCTACCCGCCGCCTTGACTACGCTACCGCTCTGGTCTCTGACCCTGCCCGTCCTCTGTCCGTCGGGGGTGCTCCTGCCCTTGGCAGTGACGTCCTAGAGGACAGGCAGTACGAGCTGGCTTTCCTTTCCGAGGCTGCTCCCCATCTCTGCTCCATGCTCCTAGTCCCTGAGGGTGACCCAGACGCCTTCGACATCCCGACCCCTTGCACCTACGCTGAGGCCACCTCGGGACCTTGGGCCTCTCAGTGGATAGCTGCCATGGAGCAGGAGATGGCATCTTGGAGGTCCACCAACACTTACGTCGACGCAGTTCCCCCGCCTGGGGTGAACGTAGTCGATGGTCGGTGGCTCTTCAAGGTGAAGCGCCCCCCTGGAGAGCCGCCTGTCTTCAAGGCGCGCTACGTGGCCAGAGGTTTCAGTCAGCGCGAGGGGGTTGACTTCTTCCAGACCTTCGCCCCGACCCCGAAGATGACCACTCTTCGGGCGCTGCTACACGTAGCAGCACAGCGTGACTACGAGCTTCACTCCCTCGACTTCTCTACTGCCTTTCTTCAGGGCAGCCTACACGAGCAGGTCTACCTGCGCCGACCACAGGGCTTCACTGGTACCTTCCCTCCTGGGACCCAGTGGCTTCTCAGGCGCCCGGTCTACGGCCTGCGTCAGGCTCCCCGCGAGTGGCACGACACGCTACGTGCCACGTTAGCAGACCTGCAGTTCTTTCCGTCCTCTGCTGACCCTTCACTGTTTGTGCGTTCCGGCCAGACTCCGTTCTACATCCTTGTCTACGTAGACGACCTGGTCTTCGCTACCCCTGACAGGGACGCACTGGCCTCTGTGAAGGCTGAGCTGCTGAAGAGACACACCTGCACTGACCTTGGAGAGCTGCGTCGCTATCTTGGCCTGAAGATCTCCAGGGACAGAGCAGCACGCACCATCACTCTGACCCAGTCACACTTGGTGCGTCAGGTCCTTCAGAGGTTCGGTCTTCAGTTCTCCTCCGCACAGCCCACACCTCTACCCGTAGACCATGGGCTCTCTGCTCCCGTTCCTGAGGAGCCAGTAGAGCCCAGTGGCCCCTACGCAGAGCTGGTGGGTTGCCTCATGTACCTGATGACTTGCACGCGCCCAGATCTCGCATACCCTCTCAGCATCCTGGCTCGCTTTGTGGCTACAGGCAGACACCGACCTCAGCACTGGTCTGCCGCTAATAGGGTTTTGCGTTATCTTGCTAGTACATCAGGCATGGGGTTAGTGCTAGGAGGACGCAGGCCAGTGGTCCTTACTGGGCACACAGACGCTTCTTGGGCAGACGACGCTGAGACGCTCAGGTCGTCACAGGGCTACTGTTTCAGCCTTGGTTCGGGTGCTATCTCTTGGAGATCCACTCGCTCGTCGTCTGTGGCTCAGTCTAGCTGTGAGGCCGAGATCTACGCTGGTGCCATGGCGGCACAGGAGCTCCGCTGGCTGACCTTCTTGCTCACAGACTTAGGTGAGCGGCCTAGCTCTGCCCCGGTCCTGTACGCTGACAACAGGGCCATGATACTCCTGTGTCAGGAGCCTCGGCTTGAGGGCAGAGCGAAGCATATCCAGCTGCGGTACTTTCTCCTGCGTGAGCTACAGCAGCGCCGCCAGGCCCGCGTAGTTCACTTGGCCTCAGGTGCCAACACAGCTGATATCTTTACTAAGGCGCTTGCGCCTAAAGATCATCAGCGGCACTGTGTACAGCTTGGTCTTGTTCCTGTAGCTGCTCCCCTGTTAGGATCCTGATTGTGTACTCTCTATTATATATGCTTGTCAGACTGGCCTTGTGGCCTTTCCTCCAGTGGCTGGACTAGTAGTGCCACCCTGGCTTGCTTCAGTTTTGGTTGTATTCTTGCTGACTGGTCTCTAGACCCCTGCCTCAGTGGTTGGACTAGTAGTGCCGCCCTGAGCTGTTTGTTTCTTGTTTAGTTTCACCCCTTGTCTAGCCTAGGGGGTGTGTCAACTTATACATATTATCTATGTAGAAGTTATAGGCTAGACTGAGGTATGCTTCTAGTGAGTACAACCAACTAGTATTTGTTCTAGGTTTCCACCTCTAGTTATTATTCGTTCTCACTTTGACAAGTACAACCCATTAGGTTATACTCCCTTGTGTGCCTTGTTCTAGACATTCTTTCACTTGAACAAAATGACCTTCCCCTTTATGTAAAGCACTAAAAAAAGGGTATGGTCTAGGGCAAATGTTGGAGAATACGTTTTACACCTTTGACCACCTGTTTTGAGTCTTCACCACGCTCCACACAAACCATGCAACCAACAAATCCCACCTCATCTCCTCTCTCTAGCCCTATCCTCCACCTCCACCTTATCTCCACCACCCCCCCCTCTCAATCCCGCACCACCTCCCAATCCCATTCCACCCAAATCCACTCCCACTCCATCTCCTCCCCCCCCTCCCCTGCTAGCCCCACTGGGTATCCTCCTCCTGCGCGCCGCACCCACACCATGCCTCACCAGCCACGGGTCGTCAAGCACATCGCAGGGAGCAGCCCTGGACTCAGGGCTCAGCACAAGAAGACGCAGCAGCAGCCGCTTAGCATCGCCGCCCACCTCGTGCCACGGGTCCTCCTCCAGATCTACCTCCCCCTGGCAGATCAACTCGGCCAGCTCGGAGTCGGTTTGGGCTAGGAAGGGCAGGCGGCCTGAGAGCAGCGCGTAGAGGACCACCCCTAGGCTCCAGGCATCAGCCTTGTGGGGCTGGAACGGCTGGAAAGGGGATTGCAGGTGAGTGGAAGGGGTTCTCTGTGGATCTGCTGGTGCTCGTGCATGCACCCCTGCTCGTGCTTGTGCTTGGGCTTGTGCTTGTGCTTGCCCTTGCACCTGTGAATCTGTCTGAGGCTGCGCCTGGGCTTGAGACTGTAGGTTGCTCTTCTTTCTATGGTACTTCTGCTGCTGCTGCTGCTGCTGCTGCTGTTGACCGTGCGTGTGGCCCACTAAGGGGCTAGCTATGTCCTCTGGAGCCATGTACGGCTTGCTGCCCTGCCACCTCTCCTTCCCCGCCGCTGCTAAGAACACAGCCGATCCAAAATCAGCAAGCCGCACCGACCACCGCCCCTCCTTGCTGCCACTGCCACTGCCCCATCCCACACTGCTGCTGGTGCTGCTGGTGGTGCTGCTGCTGCTGTTGATGCTGAGGTTGATGCCGGTGCTGCTGCTGCTGCTGCCACAACCACTAGTGGTGCAAGTCGTGCCGCTAGAAGCCCGGTGCCCGCAGCTCTCACCTCTTCCTGAGCCTGCGCTGCTGCTGCTGCAGGATGCAGACACAGGGGCAGCAGGGAGAGCAGATGACATGCATTCACCGGAGGCGGGGGCAGGGGAGGAAGCAGAGGAGGAGGAGGAGGAGGAGGAGGAGGAAGAGGAGGAGGAGGAGGAGGAGGAGGAGGAGGAGGAGGAGGAGGAGGAGGAGGAGGAGGAGGAGGAGGAGGAGGAGGAGGAGGAGGAGGAGGAGGAGGAGGAGGAGGAGGAGGAGGAGGAGGAGGAGGAGGAGGAGGAGGAGGAGGAGGAGGAGGAGGAGGAGGAGGAGATGGGAAGTGCAGGGATTGGAGGTGATTGCATGGTAGGGGGGAAGGGGGTCTGTGAGCCAGGGATTGGGGGTGAGTGCGCATCATTGCTAGAGGGTGCAGGTATGGGCACGGGGAGAGCATTAAAGAAGCTCGCATCCGCAGAGCCCCATCCCCACATGCTGCGCCCTTCGCTTCTGTGCCTGGGGACGTTGCTGCTCCCGGTTCCAGTGCTGCTGGGGCCAGTGCTGCTGGGGCCAGCGCTGCTGGGGGCAGTGCTGCTGGTTCTGCGCCCATCCTTACAAACAGCTGCTGCTGCACTGTGCGGGTTGCCTGATGGTAGGGGAGGAGTAGCGGGCCTTGCCACACCCGCTGCTGCTACCCGGCGTATCACTGGTGGTGCTACTGATGGGGACGCTGCTGCTGCTGATGCTGATGCTGCTAATGCTGATGCTACTGCTGCTGTTCTCTCTGAAGCAGCCATTGCTCCTAGTCCATGCCCATGCCCCCCCACCACGCAACTTACCTGCGCTCCTGCCCCGGCCACCTCCCCCTCAGCACCGTGCCCCGATACCCCCCTGTCCCCCACAGCTGCCTCTAGATCGTTCCACGGAGATCTCTGGGCGGGAGTGGAACGAGTATTCTCTTCACAGGTCGATGCGCCAGCCGTGGCAGTAGCACTGGCACTGGGGTTATCACCACTAGCAGGAGCGTCCCTGAAGGGGGTATCAGCAGCAGCAGTAGCGGCAACAGTAGCCGCCGCAGCAGCCGCAGCATTGCTGGAAGACGCGCTGGCAGCTGCAGGATAGTGGTGGCCCCTCTTTGTGTCATTGCCCATCGCCCATTCTCCTCTTCCCTCTCCCCCTCCTCCTCCTTCGCCTTCTCTCCCCTCTCCTCGTTCTCTCCCCCCTCCGCCTTCTCTCCTCTCCCCTCCATCTCTCTCCCCTCTGCCTTCTCCCCACGGCTGATCATCCACCACAGCAGAGAGAGCAGCAGCAGCACCAGCAGCAGCCCCAGCAGCAGCAGCAGCAGCAGGAGAGGGCACAGCAAACATGGAGAACTCCGGAGGGCACCCGGCCACGAGCACATTCTCCAGCTTCACATCCCGATGCGCCACGCCCCTCGCATGGCAGAACGCCAGCGCCGAGGCCAGCTGTGCGAAAATCTCGGCGGCGTCTCGCTCCGGGAGCGGGCCCTGCGTGGCGATCTTCTGGTGCAGGTCCCCCTCGAAGCAGTACTCGGTGAAGACGTAGGCCGCTGCCCGGTCCTGGTGCGCGCAGTGCAGGTGCACGATGTGCGGGTGGGATTGCAGGAGACGCAGGAACTCGACTTCACGGCGAACCTTGTCCCGGAGAAGGTTGCTGCTGCTGCTGTGGCTGCTGCTGCTGCCACTTGCTATTCTGGACCCTCCTGCAGCAGCAGAAGCAGCAGACGCACCAGCAGCACCAGCAACACCAGCAGCAGCAGCAGCACCCTCAGCAGTAGACTCTCCAGTTTCAACACTCTCACCTGTTGCAGCACCGCCACTCCCCCCCCCACCGCCCACACAACCCCCACCAGCATTAATCGAAGCAGTGCCCGTGCCACCGCTGCTACCAGCAGCTAGACTGGACGTGATGAGGCGGCGCAACGAACCCCATGCTGCTCCAATACCCATACCCATGCCCATACCCATGCCCATGCCCATACCCATGCCCATGCCCATGCCCATGCTTGCAGGAGCGTGTAGAGGAGCCTGGCGCAGCACCTTGACAGCGTAGGTTATCCCCGTGTCTTCATCCACACACTCATACACCATGCCATAGCTGCCCACCCCCACCACTGCCCCCAGGTGAAACCGCTGCATCGCTCCTGCTCCTGCTCCTGCTCCTGCTGCTCCTGCTGCTGCTGCTGCTGCTGCTGCAGCAGCTACTTCTCCTGCTGACCCTGCTGCTCCTGCTCCTGCTGCTGCAGCCATTGCTGCTGCAGGGTTTGCGCCGCCATGTGAATAGGCGTGGGAGTGGTGGTGGCCGCTCAAGGGACTCGCACCAATACCAGACGTGACTATGCAGGAATCTGCAGAATCACTGATGCTCATACCCCAATCAGCAACCGCACACCCCATGGAATCAGCAGCAGCAGCAGCAGCAGCACCTGCAGCACCAGCAGCAGCACCAGCAGCAGCAGGTGGTGATGGGCGTTTGGGGCGGGCAGGGACACAGATCACTCTGCGGGTGACGCCAGGGAGAGACCTTTGTCTCATCAGCTTAGGCTCTGCTGCCATTCTGCCACTGGGCCACGGCAGACCCAGCCCCTTGCGCAGAGACACTGACACAGACACAGATGCCGACACAGAGGATATCACTCTGAGCAGCCGGCGCCCGGCACTCGCTGCTGCTGCTGCGGCTGCTGCTCCTCCTCCGCCTCCGGCTGCTGCTGCTGCTCCTGTGCTGGAGCTGCTGCTGCTTCTCCTGAAGCCCATGCTGCTGCTGCTGCTGCTGCTGCTGCTGCTACTGCTGTCGTCAGTTCTGTTGTTGTTGCCACTGATGCTTTTGCTCCTGAACATGCTCCTACTGCGCCTACTACTTGTGAGTGGGCCACTGATACTGCCAAATCTACTGTTGCTGCTGCTGCTGCTGCTGGTACAGGCAGGAGCAGCACTGCTCGACTGGTTGCTGCTGGTGCTACCAATGCTGCAGCTGCTGGGGACTCGGGGGCTGCCTTTCCTCCGCCCAGCATCATTGCTGCTGCTGTTGGGGGGGGTGCTGCTGCTGCTGATGCTGTTGGTGGGGATGGTGGTGATGGTGCTGCTGCTGCAGCTGCTGAAGTTGGGGGTGGTGGTTGTGGTGGTGGTGCTGCGGCTGCTGCTGCTGCTGGGGGGGATGGTGGTGGTGGTGGTGCTGCTGCTGCTGCTGCTGCAGCTTGTGGTAGTGTTGGCAGTCGTGGTGGGGGTGGTGGTTGAGGTGGTAGTGGCCGCGGCAGTGGTGGTGGGGGTGGTCGTGCTGCTGCTGCTGCTGCTGCTGCTTCCCCCGCCACCCTTCAAGAACCCTAGACCCTGTCCTAGGCTATGCGTCCGGAAATGCCCCCTCTGTACTCCCCCAACCGCAACTGCCCCACCCCCTTTCCCCCCATCACAATCACTCTCCACCTCTCCGCCTCCCCCGTTCCCCCCCATTCCGCCTTCTTCCCCCGACACCTCGGAATTGCTGCTGCTGCGGCGGAAAAGCCCCCCTTTATGTGCGCACGTGGCGGAAACGCCTCCCCCTCTTCCCCCGCTTCCCCCGGTCCCTCCGGCACCCCCGCTCCCCCCCCAGTCACCCGCGGATGCGTCGTGCGACAAGAGCGACCACGAGCGGTGGCGTTGGTGGTGGCCCTGCCCGCGAATCACGGCAGCCAATCGCTCCTGCGCCGCGGTGGAGCTGGGCGGGGGGAATGCGAGCGCAAGGGGCGGCGGAATGGGGGTTGACACGGGCGGGGAAGATGACACGGGCGGGGAAGATGACACGGGCTTGGAAGATGACACGGGCTTGGAAGATGACACGGACGGGGAAGACAGTACGGGCGGGGAAGATGACACGGGTACGGCTGTGGTTGAAAAGAGGGAGGAGGAGGTGGAGGAGGATGACGAAATAACAGTAGGAGTGGATAGTCCCCTGGGAAAGGGGAAGGGAGATATTGGTTGCTTAAGATGCGGTGGCACATTAGGGAAGGCGGAGCCACCGCTCTTGTCCTCTCCTCGTAATTGCTCCTGCTGTCGCCGTTGCTCTCGGTGTCGTTGCTCTTGCTCTTGCTGCTGCTGTTGTTGCTGCTGTTGCTGCTGCTGTTGCTGCTGCTGTTTCTGCGGGAAAAGGTGCTGTCGAGGAGAGTTCGCATTGCCGCTGCTATCCACGCCCGAGCCGTCGGTCAGATTCAGGCATGCCGAATCCGGTACGACGGCTGCTAGGGTGTTATGATTATCCCCTCGCTTAGCTAACAAAACGGCCGCGCTATCGCACGGCTCGTTAAGCGAACAGGCAGACTGCATTGCGTTGGGAGTGGGTGGATATTTTCCGGCCGGCCGGCAGGGCAACGGACGCGACAGGGGATCGCGACGGCGTTCGGGGAGGTTGGATCACGCGAAACAGGGGATCAGGAATGCTTGAGGGAGGGTGCGGCGCTGGGAGGGACGATTATGGGGAGGAGAGAGCGGATCATGGCGTGCCTCGCGACGCCTTGCGACGCCTGTGGCGACTCGAGGTCCGGGCGACAGATACGGATAGAAAAACGGGATCGACGTGCGCACGGGGATTTGAGGTCATGCGAGCGTTACGTACGCGCAATGGAGGTGCAAGCTGCGCTGGCATTGGTAGAGAAAACGGCTAGATAACCTGTCAGCAAACGGCTTGGTTATCCTATAACGGGGATGCTAACTTGAGGATGGCAGGCGGTGAAGTATCCAGCATCGGGCTCCAGGCAGTAACTGGCTCTCTCACTCACTCGTTGCAGATGAAGTGTGGAAGGTGGGGCGAACACCAAACAAACAAAACACATCCTGCATGGGATATGGTGTGGTGTGGTGGGACATGGTCAATTGTTGTTTTCACGTGGTGCAGTGTGGTTTGGCTGCTTGTGTTGTGGTGTGGTGGGGGTGGGAAGGAAGGAATGATGAGGCGCATGGTACACCCACGCATACGCGCACCATGCCTCATGGCTTGGGTTGGGTGCAGGTCACACCGACAGCAGAAGCACGAGGTGGTTGGTGGCGCATTGTCTGGGTCTGGGAGTGGCGCTTCCGGTTTGCGTTTGTTTGCTCCGATCTGGTCAAGACCGGGTTCGCCTCTTGTTTCATTCAGAGGGACAAGTGAAAATGAAATCGGGTTAAAACCCGCGTACCAAATGCCCCAACATGGTTCGAGCTTCCTACCTTTGGTTGAGAGTTCCCTAGGAGAATTACTCGACAACCAATCCCGTCCTCATGTTCAACCAGCCTTCCTACCAATTGGCACACGGGTTTTAAACGATAGCTTTCCACTGCACTGAAGCGTGCGGATAAGGCGTCTCATTTTCACGAACAGCTTGCGAACCGAACATTAACCGAACTGTACCACGTCAAGATAAATATAAAGCGTAGTCCAAAACACCATACCGTTTTCAACCTCTCTGAATGGTCGACCATGAAGCGAGTTCGAAATTTTAGTAGTCCCTCCAGCTGGTTGAGCTGATTTTGTTGTGCACTAAACTGAACTGTTCCGATCGCTGAAATGATCCAGCAGTCGCGACCGCATGGGGACTGGGTTTGTGAGAATGTGTCATGATTCGTGAACTGAAAGCGCCTTTTTTCGGTTGGCCGAAATAGCTTTCTCCTCTACATCGGTCAATTCTATCAGGAACGAGACCACGGGCATCCCACGAACGCGAGTTTCCCTGCCCGTAAAGGCTGGCAAAATCCATAAACGGTGGAACCTCGTGTCAGGTGGAGGAGGAAACACTGACACCCAATCCATCTAACCAGTATGTGCGGGACTATTCTGGTGACACGACTTAGCTGGAGAGGCCCTTGTCGACCAAGTTTCCACGCTGACATGACGAGCAGATGGCATATAAATGCTGGTGATCACACAGCAGAGAGAGGAGACAGTGGTGGTCCATTTCATAACCACCAGGCCGCCCCGACTATCTCTCACCCCTCTCTGCACGACTTGATGCGGCGGTTTCGGCCTGACAGAGGAGGGATTCCGGAGCACGTTTTGAGCCACTCCATCCGACAAATTCCCCACCCCGTTTCCGTTGCGACATTGCTCGTGCTCGCCTGACGCGACCCTCCGACCAGCCCGCCTACTCCCCCCCTCTCCTCCCCCTCCCGATCGCTGCTAAAAGTGCTCAATTTTAAGCGTTTTTTAGACGATGCACGCTTGAGTCGTACTTATCCTCCCTTGCCGGCCTCTGCAGTCCTTAAAGGGGCCGGGGGACGGGGAGGAAGGCTGGGATCCGCGCGTCTGCCATGCCGCTCGCCGCAGGTACGTAACGGCGCGCCTTTCGTGCGCATCCCTCGTGCGCATCCCTCGTGCGCGCCCCTCGCTCGCATCCCTCGTGCGAGCAGACTTTTGAGTCGACTTAAAAGTGCCTCGTGCGAGCCCTGCTTTGTACAACGTCAACCGGAATCCAGGTGATTGTCCAATCAAGTATATCCCCCGATCTGCCTTTACCTGTGCTTGCCTCCTGGCACGCCGCTTGACATCACTCTCCACCTCCCAGCAAAGCCCCCCTTTCCCGCTTTTCCCCCAAACCAACCCCCCCCCTCCCCCCCCCCCCCCCTACCACCTCTGTCCTCCCCCTATCCCCCCCCCTTCCACCCCTCCCCCCTTTCCCTCGTACTGATTTCCCCGCCGTCCCTGGTCTGCTGTACGTTTCTCTAGTGCCTGCCATCTGTTTTCCCTGCCCTCCCCTGCCGTCCCCTGCGTGCGGTGGGTGGCAGAGGATCTGAGTCTTCTCGTGCTCGTGGTGGACGCCAACCCTTTCTTCTGCGTTTGACTCCACTCAAAAGCTTCCTGTGTGCCCTTCTTTCCCTGCCCTTCCCTGCGTGCGGTGGGTGGCAGAGGATCTGAGTCTTCTCGTGCTCGTGGTGGACGCCAACCCTTTCTTCTGCGTTTGACTCCACTCAAAAGCTTCCTGTGTGCCCTTCTTTCCCTGCCCTTCCCTGCGTGCGGTGGGTGGCAGAGGATCTGAGTCTCCTCGTGCTCGTGGTGGACGTTAACCCTTTCTTCTGGGCGCAGCGCCCGCCCTCCCTCCCCACCTTCCATGACTTCCTCTCTCAGGTGAATTCCTCTCTCAGGTGGCTTTCCTCTCAGGTGAATTCCTATCTCAGGTGAATTTCCTCTCTCAGGTGAATTCCTCTCTCGTGCGGATTTCCTCTCTCAGGTGAATTCCTCTCTCGTGCGGATTTCCTCTCTCGTGCGGATTTCCTCTCTCAGGTGAATTTCCTCTCTCAGGTGAATTCCTATCTCATGCGGATTTCCTCTCTCAGGTGAATTTCCTCTCTCAGGTGAATTTCCCCTCTCAGGTGAATTTCCTCTCTCGGGTGACTTCACTCTCGCCCCACGCTCTCTCTGCCTCTCTCTGTCCCTTCCCCCCCTCGCTCTTACCCACCTCCGCCTTACCCTGTCGGTCTACCCCTGCCCCCGTACCCCCCGCCCCTGCAGCTGCGTGTGTTCCTGAACGCGTACCTGCTGCTGCACAGCGCCAATAAGGCTGCCGTCATCGCCACCGGCTATTCCTCCTGGTGCGCGCCCGACACGCACCTATCGAACAAACTTATGGCAACAACTGTGCAAAACGCTCCCTCATTGCGCTGCTTTATGCCCTGTGCGGTGCTGTGCTGTGCTGTGCTGTGTGTGTGCTGCTTCGCAAAATCTTTCAGCTTCGGTGCTTTCGTTTCGAGTGCCATGCATGCATCCTCTCTTATCTATCTCCCTTACAAGGGGGGGATAGGGGTTTTAAGTTCTCATCATCCTCCACCACATGTCCCTCACCCTCTTCACATCTCAATTTCGCCCCCTCTTCTCGTTTTTCCTCCCTAATTTTTTTTCCATCGCCTTCCTTAGCGTCCCTCCTCTCCCTCCTCTCCCTCCTCTCCCTCCTCTCCCTCCTCTCCCTCCTCTCCCTCCTCTCCCTCCTCTCCCTCCGACCCCCCAGTCCACTCCACGTGTCAATCATTTTTCCTATCCTGGCATACCCTACTGGTTTCCACATGTCCTCCTCTCCTCTCTCTCGCACTCCTTTCCTTTCGCTGCTGCCCCAACCACAGTGCGTTCGTGCATCCCACTCCTCCTGTTGCCTCCTCCTCTTCCTCCTCCACCTCCGCCCCTCCTTCCACCTCCTCTCCTGCTGAAGACGCCATTGCTCAGCTACTCAGCTTCGCAGCAGCAGAGGCAGAGAGGGCCAAGGGGGAGTCATCATCGTCATCAGCAGCAGCAGCAGCGACAGTGGGAGGGGAGGGCAGCGGGAGAGAGGATGGGAGTGGGGGGGCGGACAGAATGGAAGGGGTGGATGGGAATGGGGCAGTGGATGGGGAGATGAGGGATGGGGAGGGGAGAAGAGGAGGGGGGGCGGGTGGGGGAGGGGAGGATGGAGAGAGGGGGGGGAAGGGGATAGTGCGCGAGCAAGCGTCGCTGCTGTCAGGGTCGTTGTCCATGGCGCTCGCATGTGGGTGATGGCATGTGGGCGATCGCATGTGGGTGATGGCATGTGGGTGATGGCATGTGGGGGATGGCATGGCATATGTATAACAGTATAGGGAATGTGTAGTCGTAAATTCACACTCATGAACTTGTTCATGGGTCCATTTGTGCGAGCATGCATGTGTGCAAGCAGTGGCTGACAGGTAGTATCACGCGGAAGCACTCTGAGCCTAGCAACCCAAGAAAGGAATTCCTCCCTGATCTGTCTCTTTCCGCTTTCTTTCTTTCCGCTGATGGCATTTGCTCTCTCCTCCTCTCTCCCCTCTCTCCGCCTCTCTCCCCCTCTCTCCCCCTCTCTCCCCCTCTCCCTCCCACTCTCCCCCCCTCCCCCCCTCTCTCTCCCTCTTCCCCCCTCTCTCCTTCTCTCTCCTCCTCTTTCCCCGTCTCTCCTCCCCTATCTCGCCCATCAGACTGTGTGAAGGCTAGCAGCAAGGGGTCATCAGCTCCCAGACCAAGAGTAGGCCATGGCATGGCACAGCATGGCATAGCATGGCACAGCATGGGATGGCATGGCATGGCATGGGATAGCATGGCACGGGATAGCATGGCATGGTGTAACATAACCAGCGATGCCATACTTGCACACTTGCAAGCTCGTGCTGTTATTTCGATTTCTTTTTCGGTATGATTAAACCCGGCTTTATCTCTCTCCTCTTGTTGCATACTTCTGTGTACATGTCGGCCTCATGTCTCCATGTACTTGCCAAATCACATTGCTACATGGGTGTGTGTGGCGTGTGATTGTGCTTGAGTGGGCATCCGATTGTGTGTGCGCGGTACGCATGTGGTCCGTGCACCTGCCTGCATGTGCGGGTTGTATCTGCATGCATGTATGCTTGTACGCATGCATGTATGTATGTTTGTATGCATGCATGCATGCACGTACACATGTGTCTCGCCTTACAGATACTCTGCATCCATGGCTCACCTGATGCAGCTCAACAGTTACGTGCCTCTTCCTCCCATCTCTTCCTCCTCTCTTTTCCTAATCCAACCATCCATCCTTCCATCCACCATGCCACATCACATCCTGCCATCTAAGAGCAGAGCACCTTCTGGTCTGGGGGGTGTGTGCCGTGGATGCATCCCGCAAGTATCAACGGACGTTTGAGTCATCTTATTAGAGCAGAGCACCTTCTGGTTTGGGGGGTGTGTGCCGTGGATGCATCCCGCAAGTATCAACGGACGTTTGAGTCATCTTATTAGAGCAGAGCACCTTCTGGTCTGGGGGGTGTGTGCCGTGGATGCATCCCGCAAGTATCAACGGACGTTTGAGTCATCTTATTAGAGCAGAGCACCTTCTGGTCTGGGGGGTGTGTGCCGTGGATGCATCCCGCAAGTATCAACGGACGTTTGAGTCATCTTATTAGAGCAGAGCACCTTCTGGTCTGGGGGGTGTGTGCCGTGGATGCATCCCGCAAGTATCAACGGACGTTTGAGTCATCTTATTAGAGCAGAGCACCTTCTGGTCTGGGGGGTGTGTGCCGTGGATGCATCCCGCAAGTATTGGCGGTCCATGCTGGCCCGTCAGGTGCAACGCAGCCAGGCATGTGGTTCCTCCAACTCATAATTCAATCACAGCCCATTTTTATCCAAGCAAAAGGCGTCCCCTGATCAATCCCATACTCCACCCATTTCTCCTGCTCGCCTACCTCAAATCCCCCTCCCCA